TGATTCTAGGCACTGCCGCTTTAAGGCGTTCTTTACGATTTACGGTTTTATGGGCATTTCCTGTTCCGTTTTCCGTCGCGATGACGTCATCTAACTGTACTCCTCACGCAGAGATCGCTTTCGAGGATGTCACCGTGACAAAGTGACATTTGTACGTAGCACGATCTGATGTTTTTAGGGCGGTGAGTCCGAAGATGGCTGCCGTGTAGCCTGGTAGAAGTTTACCGACGTTTCGGGGGTCCTTGCTTCCTCATGATCAGGGCGATCACCCTAGTTATTCAGCCCATGTCTTTCCCCGAGACTTCTAAAGTTCGTACGGATTTCCACTGACGTCAGAGGACATATGTAGGTTTCCGGCATGTGGTTAAGAGTTTTTATTGGTGTAATTCAAGTCCAGTAGCTTTTGCCTTTCGTTTGCAAGGGACAGACAAACGTGTACCTAGAGTGGAACGTCACAGGAATTAAAGCTCTGTTTTAACCGAAGCTGTTTTCATGGGAACTCGGTGGACTAGTGGTTCGCGGGTTCGATCCCGACCGAGGTCAATGGATTTTTAAGGGTGATAAAAGTCTGTAGGACAACTTCCTTCGGGAGGGAAGTAAGTATGATCCCATTTCGTAGATTTACGGCACGTAAAAGAACCTTACGAGCATGAATGAGACTTTTTAAGCAAAATTCAGCGGCCATTTCTCACCCAAGTCTCTCGTGATTCATTGCTAGATGGCTCTGGCAGTCAAATCAGGATTGAGTAGAAATTGTGCTGGTCACTCACTACTCATAAATGCACGCTTCAAAGACTGGGAAAACATCCGAAAGGAGGCGGCCAAGACCTACACTGGGCTGTAAATCACATGAGGAAGAAGATTATCTTGTGCTTACGTTGTCCTGTATTTACCTGATGGTTTATACCAGTGGTATTCAACCTTTTTTGTTCGCGTACCCCCAGATATAATTTCTCTTCAACTTTGTACCCCCAAAGTCGTTGGTGTGTAATTCAAGTTATACATAGTATATAATCTACATCTAAAATAAATTAAATAAATTACGTTACTGATTATTCAGTGTTCATCATAAAATAATATATATTTTTTTTAAAATTTCACGTACCCCCTAAGATGTCAAATTTTGGTTTTGATTTCGTGATTACGTCGTCCCACGTCAACAGCTATTGCCATGGATGGAACTTGTTATTTTTTCAGGTTTATTCATTAATCATTCACGTGTGTGCAATTTATCTAGTGTCAGTTTGGGTACAAACGAACGAACAGCTCATCGTCTGTTATCGAGAGGTTCTTTGTTCGGTGCTGTCCGTTAAGAATGAATGTGGTTAAAAATTGTTGGGACTTGTAGTCTGGTCGCCCTGATGATGGACGCAGCAAAGACCTTTGAAACATCAGTATACTTATGCCACTCTAGATAGATAGACGAAGAACCGGGTTTTAAAAATTCCTCAGTTAATGACAAATTTGTTACTGTGTGAATAGCTGACCATGAAAAATACAGGCGTATTTTTAGCAACGTTTGAATGTGGAGGGACATTTTATTGGTGCTTAAAAATCCGTTACTGTCTCTCCTGAGAACACCAGATGAGTTTGTCGCCTATAAATAGCTCGTGTTTATTATTCTGAAAAAAAAGATTTCGACCTAGCCTCGCTTACGTGTTGAAGAAATGACTGACTCATTGTGATTTTGAACTGAGAATTTTGGGCGTGTGGTTTATATCGAAGTGGCAGGGAGGAATTCGACAGATGATCAGATCTCTTGTTAATCTGTCCATGTTCCTTGCCTGAAAACTCGTCATAGACATCGTCATTCGTTACGTATCTTTGAATAACAACAACAAAAAGTTGTCAGTGGAACGACGGTTCCGGAGAATTAGACGTAAATGCGTCTATACTGAAAGGAAGTTTATATTTTGGCTTTATTCTAAATATTTCCTTTATAGATCCTTTACAATTGAGTAAAGTTTGATTAAGACTTTGCTTACTCAACTTGAATTAGTTACGCTTAAGATGGGTCTGTGGTAGATGAATGTAACGTAGTGTAATGTAATGTTTTATAGGTAACAACAATTCCGAGTAAACAGATGACGTTTCCTAGGTAACATAACAATGAAGTTACACTTTTTGCCGAATGACCCTTCCTTATAGACGTATTTACGTCAAAAAACTATTATCCCCATCCGAAATATTTTGAAACATGTTCTTTTCTGCGTGGATATAATTGGCAGTTGGCCCAGATCCTTTTCCACGGGTGACTTAAATAAGTTGAATTACGAAAGGAATATCGACATCACTTGAGTAAGCAAAGTTGGATTTGGTTAGGTTAGGTTAGGTTAGGTTAGGTTGGATTGCGTTAGAATGCATTGGGTTCGGTTGGGTTTGGATGGATTAGGTTGAGTTGGGTTCGTTAGCTTAGGTTTGGTTACATTACGTTACGTTAGGTTTGGTTTGGTTTAGGTTAGTTTTAGGTTATGTTAGGTTTAGGTTATGTTAGGTTTAGGTTATGTTGAGATAATTTTGAATTTTGATTGTGTTCTGTTGGCTTGGGTTTGGTTGGAGTATGTTAAGTTATGATAATGTTTTGTCAGGTTAGTTTTTATTATGAAGGGTCAGCTTAGATTATTTTGAGAAAAACAAGTGTTGAATATCGACAGACTTCGCGACCCTCGTCCAATTGCCGCGGTGTTCGTAACGAGTCGTGTGTGCTGGAGTGTCCACGCACGCGCAGCTTTCGAGTGTGCGCTGTATACAGTCCACAGGCACAAGAGGGGAGCGGAAGCAGAAGGGCGGAGGGGCGGGGGGGAAGATGATGTGTAAGGAAGCGAGGCTGACTTGTCCGAATTTCTGCAAACTCGTTTGACCAGAGGCGAAGAGAGAGAGAGAGAGAGGTCGCTGCCCATCCGGCATCGCAACGTCGAATTGAATTGGCCGGTGTCACGTGTCTTCCGACAGCGACTGTTTCTTACCGCTCTCTCGGGTGTTTTTGAAAGCTCAAGCGTCCGCCACGCGCATGCGCAACAAGTAGATTAAATCAGTGCGAAAAAGAGACCGGGAAGTTATAAATAAGTAAGCCAGCATTTGCATCTCTTCGTCACAGAATCTCACTTCAAGCCTCTTGAGTGAAGTGTTTAATGGGGCCACTGAGCGAGTTGGGTGGGGGGGCTTGAAGAAGGCGATGAAGTGATTGCGCGTCTCTGGGGGTAGCTACGGGATGTGGACAGGCGCTCGTATAGTTGACTAAGAACACGCTGTTTGTTTACGGACGTCTCCAGTCTGTTTTTGATGCAAAATACAGCTTCAAATTAGATAATTGTTTTCAAGGCTTCGCAGTTTTTTCGATTCTCCCGTAAAAAAAGAAAAAGCTCTCGTTTTTTCACAGCCACGCACACGCAAAGAATAAACAGACGTTACAAAACCACTTTAATGAAAACGCGGCTTTTTAAAGATTTCTACCAGGGACACGAATGACGTCTACTTGGTCCTTTAAAGCCGAGTGGTAATTATATGTACCAGCTGCTTTAGCAATCGGTAACTCTTCATTTTGTATTTATGTGGTTCTAATGATTCTCAGTGTAAACAGCGCTTATTTCCTTAAACAGCGTTAACCAGTTGATCTTTTTAATGGTGAAGTGTGGTGTTTACTTCACGGTACGGACTCAGCGTTAACCAGCTGATCTTTTTAATGGTGAAGTGTGGTGTTTTCTTCGCGGTACGGACTGAATTCTTAAATATTGTTTGGGGGAGTTATAATGCCATTATAAGCGTTAGTGAGGACTCCACCTCCGATGCAATGTCTCAAGTATTATAATTCCGTGTCATAATAATGCTGAATATAATTAAACATTTTTTACCCAATTAGGGAATTAATAAAAAATGTAGATTAATAAAATTGTCCCTATGCGTTTTTAACCATGCACCATTGCAGCGTATGGGAGAGCGAAGGTAAAACTTCTCTGCCTCGTGACCACGACTCGAAGGCGTATAGGGGAGCTTAGAGGATGGGCTCCACTCATTCTGAACCCGTAGGCGAGTGGCGGTCTTCACATTCATTGCATGGGGGTAGATTACGTCTGAGCCATTCTGGACGGAGTGACTATGAACTGATAGTGTTTTTCCGACTCGTTGAAGAGCTCTCTCGATCCTCGTACGTGGCGCTGTAGCGGTCATCAGTTGAGGTATAAATAAATATCTTCGCCTGCGGCCCGCCTGTGTGTGTGTCATCGCTCTGACTGCGTGCTACTGGCACGATAGAGTCGCGCTGCTACAAGTTTCTCTACCAGAAACGTAACACTTTGTTCCTACTAATCGAAGACGATCAGAAAGTATTCTTAACCTTGACCTCAAAAACCTCACGGCCTTAGCATCAGCGTGCCTGGCGAGTGTGATACCAGTTCGGGTTATTTTTTATTGTCAAGTGGATGAACGACTTCCTTGCGTTGTTTTTTTTTCATCGCTGCACCAGCTGCCGGTGTTAGGAATTGGAAGGAATTAGAATCTGGTTACTTAATCCGCGTTCCCTGTGTCAACTGACCCGATGCGACACCAGTAGGAATTAGAACCTGGTTACTTAATCCGCGTTCCTTGTGTCAACTGACCCGATGCGACACCAGACATTTTTAGGTTAGGTTGTTTTGTTCCGGACACCAATACCTGGAGTATTTGAAGTGCTGTGATATATCACACTCTTAACAATGACCTTGGAACACACTGTGGCATCATTTACCTTGGTCACGACAATGTCTTTGATATCATTTTCGTATAAGTTATTCCGTTGGCTGCCCTGCGTGTGGTGTCGTCTAACATCTTTAGAATTTTCCTGTGCTCCAGAGAGTACAGTCTAGTTTCTTTCAGAAGTTAATCGCAGAAACTGCCAACCTAAACTAGGTCTTGGCCATTGATTTTGCGAGACGACGCTGGGAATAGAGATTAAAGTTGATTTTCTTTTGTTTCAGAACTTTGCAGTGATGGCCGACGTTGCGAAAACTGTGAAGGTAGTGAGTAACAGCAGCGCTTGTGGTGTGTCTCTGTGTGAACTAACATCAGCGAACGTTGAAGCAGATTCTCTCGAAATTCGTAACTCACCATCCAATAACACAGATTCGACAGATTTAACACTGAACCTACCACCGTCTGATGACGAAACGAGTTTACAAGAACTTATTGAATCGGAATTAGCCTTGCGAAAGGAACTTATAGACGCTCAATTTTCCCCTAGAATCTCAGATTACTCAGATACTTTGGAAGAGGCTGACGATACAGATACGATTGATGCGAACCAGAAAACTTGTGATTCAATAAAGTCCTCGCCAACAATTCTGTCTCCTCGGAGTTATGACGAAACAGATCGTAAAGCCCTTGATATCAATACGCAGTTTATTTTGGCCGAAAGGAATCATTCGTTTCAAACGTTTACTGGGAATGATATGTTTTTTTTCAACACACTCGATGACACGCAGATCAATGGAACTGATCCATACTTGAAAGACGACGAAGGCCTAGCAGATCCATTCCTGGGAGAGGAATCACATGCGGTTTATTCCGACATTGAAAGCACACAGGAACCAAACGAACTTGAAATTTGCTCAACGTCACATGTAGACGATCTTGACGAATGCCGTCAAGAATCATCTGAATCTGATTCGTCCATCTTGAAAGATGTCGATCATATTACGCTTTCAACATTCGATCCTTTCACTACGATAGTTGACAGCAGCAAATCTGAGACGATTGATAATCCAGATATAGTCGAAACACCGTCGAGTGAGTGTGCTGATTCAGACTTCATTTGTCTTCAGGTTGAGACAGGCGATAAATTCGATACCGTGGTTGAACCCTCGCAAAATTTGAATGAGAATTTTGGTGCCTGTGATTGTATCGAGACCATATCAGAGGAGGTTGTCCCAGATGGGGATTTTCGTACTAATTATGTTGTAAGTGTTGGTTTGAGTAACAGCATGGATGAGTTTGGGTGTGGTAATAATGATCATGTAACTAACGTTTTTGATACTCTCGAAATCGACGATTATGAAATCCCTGTAACCCCTGAGGAAGCCACCGCTGAGATAACCGAAGAACACGGTAAATTCAAGATAACAATTCCAGAAATTGATATAATTCCTCCTGATGACAATGAAATAAGCGAAAGTGAACTGGTTTCAAATGAAGAACTGAGTATTTCTAGTAGCGGAGCTGGACCTCAGATTGAGTTGACTGGTCCTTTGGTTGAAGATGGTTTTGAGACCTGGGAAACGGTTGCCGAACCATCAGGGCGTATCCCCGAGAGATCTGACAGTCTTGAATACGTCCCGGAAGAATTTGGTGGTGGTACCGAGGTCGCGAATGTGCATGCAGATGAAATAGTTTCAGAAGTTTGTCCTAAAAACACTGACTCCTCATACTCCGATGTAAGTTTGATGCTTTGCGTTAACTTAACTTTGTTAGATTGTGTCTGTTGCTAATTATTTTTAATGTAAGTCAACATTTGAGGTTTGCTGTCAACTTCGAGTTCAGATTTTATGTTAACGAATCAGACATTTTAAGATTTGATGTTTTTCACAGCGGGGATTATGAAGATTTCTGTCCTGTTGCTAATTATTTTTGATGTAAGTCAACATTTGAGGTTTGCTGTCAACTTCGAGTTCAGATTTTATGTTAACGAATCAGAAATTTTAAGATTTGATGTTTTTCACAGCGGGGATTATGAAGATTTCTGTCTTCTGGGTTGTTGATTCATCGCCCTGATGATGGAGGCAGTATGACCTCCGAAACGTTAACTTAACTTTGTTAGATTGTGTCTGTTGCTAATTATTTTTGATGTAAGTCAACATTTGAGGTTTGCTGTCAACTTCGAGTTCAGATTTTATGTTAACGAATCAGAAATTTTAAGATTTGAAGTTTTTCACAGCGGTGATTATGAAGATTTCTGTCTTCTGGGTTGTTGATTCATCGCCCTGATGATGGAGGCAGTATGACCTCCGAAACGTTGGTAAACATCGACCAGACTACACAGAGCAACAACCCAGAAGACAGAAATATTCATCGCCCTGATGATGGAGGCAGTATGACCTCCGAAACCAGAAGACGGAAATCTTCATTTGATAACTTGTTGCCAAAACTTTAATTTTTGTCAGCCACGCGTTGTAATTTTTAGGTCATCCTTAGACTTTTGAATAAGCAGAGAACAGCCTACGGGTCTGTATTGATGAATCGATTCGTAGATAGAATTTTGAATAAAACAGTTTTAAAAAACGTCTTTGTGTCCCTAAGCTCCAAATTACAGTTCTTTATGATTTTTTGTTACATTTTATTTTCTTCTGTTAGTCCGAGAAGAGCGAGTTTGTGACAACGAAGACAGCTGAAAAGAAAACCAAGAAGACGAAGAATGAGGGTGGGGAGTCCACAAAAATTAAAAAGACCAAGAAGACGAAAAAATCCGATCCTGAGAAAGAAAATATTTCTGTGGTAAGTTCTGTCTCGTGTGGAGCATGGAAATGTTTTTGTTGTCTGAAAATACATGTTTTGACGTGTAAAATTCATTGTGCAACATGTGGATGGACTGACCGCTTTCCATAATTCCTCTTGCTTCAAATTGTCTATTTACTGTGTTTCGTTGGTAGCACTGAAAATAAAACGAGAACGCGGAGTATTCAAAATCTGCAAACATCAAAAAACTATTGGATTATCCAGAGATAATATAATTTCACATTACAAGAGACTGTGCACTTATATTATGTTTTTCTGGTTCAGGATTCAGACACTTTATATGTTTTATCTTTTAAAATTAACCTAGATCTTAATTGCATTTAGTATTTACAGTGTAAATTGTTAATATTTTTGCATGTACTGAAACTTGGAATTGTGTTGAGATGTTTTGTGTCGTGTTTTGTTGGCTAATGATGTGTTACTGGTGTCGTGTTCTACTAACCAGGCAGACACAGCACTGACTCATGCCGACAGTGTTGCAAATAACGAGGTTAAAATATCCCCCAAAGAAAATATACCTGCAGATGATAAAATTGTGGATGATGATCTGTCCAGTGTTTCCGTCAAAGTATTGGTGAGTAAATGTTATTTTTATTAACTGTCCAGATGAAGCTTGGTTGTAATTTTACGTAAAAATTGTGATTTACTTCGCCCTAATGTGAGCGCATTTTGAAGGTATGTTTGTTGTTGTTGTTGGCGGCACTGTATAACAGCTTGCTGCATTGTCAAGGGTGTTGTTCATACATTAATGTACGATGTTTTGCCAGTTATTTTATGTGGATGTAAAACTTGATGTGTCACTTTGAAGAAATAAGATATTTGATCTTTGAAGTAGTGATTGTTGAAGATTATATAAAAGGCGACGCTGTATGTCGGCAACAAAGTAGAGAATGTCGAAGTGGCATGGCCGTCGAGCGCATATAAAGGGATAACCGGAGAATGCAGTGTGCTAATGTAAAACTAGATGGCAGTGGTGTAAGACAGGCTGTTTTAGTAACGTGATGTAAGCTGCCTTCTGTTAACAGTGGCATATGTGTCTTGTGTTATAACATTGATTTCATTACTTCCCTAATGCTGACTGTTGTTCTAATTGTGTATGATTGTCTTTTACTCACAAATCTTGACACCGCTGTTGGTGTAGATATCTTGGCGAGATGGAATGTCATGTGAATGCTGATAATAGGGATTTCAGCGTGGCGTTGATGTGATTGGCAGGACGTTTGCTACAGCGAGTTAAGTGAAGTTGTGGGGAAGCCTTGGTCAGTGTTAAAAACTTCAGAGCAGCTAGAGTTGAGACCGTAGTTTAATTTATATATGTCTTCTCTTTGGATTTATTGCTTCTCAGAATGTGTGCGTGCGTGCGCACACTCGACTGCTTTTTGTAGCAGTATGAATCTTTGAGGTTCTGAGCATGCGCACATGTGAATATGGATGATAACTGTTCTGATATAGTACAGGAGGATCGTAGTCCATCAGTAAAGAATTAGGGTGGGAGGGTTTGAACTGGACTAGCTGAGGATAAGTACCAGTGGAATCATAAACTGTCGGAAGTTCCGAACACTCTTTAATATGGCTTCTCCCGAGCGATCTGTCCCTTTTAGGTTATCCAACTATACTTTTATGCGCACATCGTTTCTCTGTGATTTCTTCTGCGCAACCCCACCATCTTGATTTAGCGATACCAACAATATTAGGTGAAGAGTCAATTATGAAACTTAACCTCACATAATTTATTCCATTCTCTTGATTGATTTTTTCTTTCGATCGTAAGGCTTATTGGACTCGGAAGTAGCATGGCAGTTGCATGAGAGCATGGTTTTGTTTGATGTGTTTGGTAATTGTTTTTCTTTTGGCGCATGATTGTGTGCAGAAATCAACTTACGCAAACCAGATTCAGACACAGGCATCAAAGGAAACAGCAAAGGAAATAGATTGTGATATTCAGCTTTGTGGACCAATTCAGTCACTGGTAAGTTCAGAATGCAAGTCATGATGGAACATTACTTTGTTTGTACCAGAGAACTTCCTTGTGAAAATTGTTTCCAAAACGCATCGTAGTCTCTGTCACAGACGTTTGAACACGGAGATCATGCGTTTGGAATCGCCAAGGAAGAAACACATTAATTTGATTAAACCTATGGAAAAAAAATAAAGGTTTGTTATTTCATTCAATGTTAATCATTATATATGTAAACCTAATCCCAGTGTAGTTTCAATCAATTGAATGTATTAATTTTCGTAGTCCTGTAAGTAATTCTTAAGTCTTTCAATTGAAGACTATATTGATTTTACCCACCAGCATAATTAAATATAACAACTAAATTTTGTTTTTACTGTTTATAAACCTTTATTGTTATTCCACTGTTGTCTTCACCTTCGTAAAGAAATATTTCAGGATGTATTTTTTTTAGAGAATATTTCGTAAACAGATTTTGATTTTTGTTGTTGTTGTTGTTGTTGTTGTGGTACTTACATCAGTGGTTATGGGTTTTCCTGTCAGTTCACCTAAAATGTGTCAGTTTGCCTGAAACATATTACATAAATATTTATGCCATATCCCACGTAACATAATAGAAAGTGACCAGTTAAATGTTACTGTGCGCCGTATAACGTATTGATTCTGACGTTATTCTACATTTGAAATGATATTCAGTTGGATGAGTAATATGAAGATCAGATTTAAGTCGACGTACATATTAACAGTGAAAGTATTAATGGAACAGTCACGGGATTTTGTTGCTATGTCCAAAATATGTTAAACCTACTCCACATAACAAACATATGATACGGCATAGGCTCGATGTTAATAATATAATTAATTCATATTATTCTAATGGATTGTTAAGGCAGGGCGATTAACAAAATGAAGTTGGCTGTCTTGTGGGTTGTTGCATCATGCAGTCTGGTGGAAGTCTGCCTGCATTTCGGAGGTTCTTACTGCCTCCATCATCAGGACTCATTGCTCTCATGATGGAAGCAGTAAGGCACCTATGAAACGTCAATAAACCTGCCAAAGTTTATGGTGCAATAACCACAGAAGACTGCAATTTCCATACTCGACATCTCAAGAACCTGATATATTATAAGCGTCTGGTTGTGAAACAGGGATAGTGAAATCTAGGGCTGGACATGTGGAGAGATTTTGTGGGGAATCCTGGAAAACGACCACTGGGCAGACCAAGAAGGAGATGGGCGGATGGATGTAGTTGGCTCAGGGTCGTGGCCGGTGGTGGGATTTGGTGTTATTGGTGTTGAACCCGCAGGTTCTGATACTAGAGAGTGAGTGCGTTAGAGATTATGTGTGAGTTAATAGAATAAATAAGTTAATGATAGAATTTTATGTAGATTTTGTCTGTAATCCTCATAGAGGGTCGAAATGGGTTTTGTACTGAAGCAGTGGAACAGAAGATGGAGAAATTAATTTGCTGTGAGATTTTTCTGGGGTAGCTTTGAACCACGCGTACGTCTCTGAAGTTTCTGGTGCAGTCGAAATGCATTCTTATTGTAATGGACACAGTAAGGAGCGAGTTTAAATTAAGATGGAAATAGGTTATTAGATTTTTGTGAGAGAAGCTATTTTCATGGTTTCAGTCTCAAATGTTATGATATTTTAAAATTTGAATTTAATTTTGGTGGAATTCTGTGTCGGAATGTAGTGGGGTGTGATTTAATATTCGTGGGACGTGGACTTCAAAATAGGAATGGAAATTTTTCTTTTATAGTCGCTGTTGATGGGTAAAAGTGCAAAGGCGCGAGTCAGAACTTTGAAGGGAAACGGTGATCGTATGGCAAAGATGGATGAGAGACCACCTGAAGAAACTAAAAAGTCAGCTGAGTGTATTTTGCAGTGTAAAACATTTTATAGAAGTAGATTAAAGAGATCATTATATCTCATGGCAGATAGCATGGGACATGTCGCAATAGATAAAGTACGCTATCAATGACGTTTATTAAGGAAAAACACAGTTAATTGAATGGCAAGACTGTATTTAAGAGAAATTTATCGTTTGTAAGAAATAAAATAAGAATCTTGTGGAATGCAAAAAAGAAACAGTGGTTTGAGAGAGAAGTGTAATTTGAAATGAATTAGTTGTACAGAAAGAAAGTTTTGAATTTATCGAGAAAAGAAGAATTATCTGTTCTTTGTATTTGCTGATGGTGTGAGCATTTCAGGGGGTTTTAAGATAATATTAAAAGACTTTTGATACTGAGCGATATCTACATGTTGAGCGGTGATGATGTACAAGAACTGTACGCTGACTTGACTGCAGAAAGTAGGAGCCTGTCAAGGAAGAAGTGGCAAAGCCCCTGGCGGAATGTTGTAAGATATTTTGTTTAGTTTGTGTGAGAGTTGGAATACCAACAGAGATGTTTAATAATACTGAATGTAAGTGGCAGTTTCCATCACTGGAAAGTATAAATTTCCCATTTCTTTTGTGAATGTAAAGGTTAGGTTATGTTAGGTTTTGTTAGGTTAGGTTTTGTTAGGTTAGGTTAGCCTCAGTAATGATAGAAGCATTTTATTATTACAACTGGTAAGTAATTGTTTAAGGATCATTATAAATATTTAACTTTATTTACAGAGTGGACTTGGGCTGTAAAATGAGAATTAAAAGTATAAGTTCTCATATGATCAACTGTTTTTGAAGTATGTGATAAAATCATAAATTTCGAATTGACCACGATAAGAATGAAATAACTCATTAAACAAATGAAGTACATTGGTTGGGACAAGGATGTGCCTTAAGCTGTTTTCTGGTCGACATATTCATTAATCGGTGTAGTTTTCGTAATATATCTAATTATTTCACACTTAATTATATCTCACCCATGCAAAAAAACAATTGTACAGATGTCAGGGCCATATAATATTTACTTAGCTCGATAAATTCAATTAAACTAAATGCATTATACCTCAGTGCAATTCTGTAAAATGATCATTTCCTGGGGAGCTTTATCATTTTCCTTCTACTGGCATTCATAGTACGTAATTTTAGTGATTCATACACTCTGATATTGGTTTACAGAATGATTTTTCATTTCCCAAGCATTTGTTGAAATTTATTTAATTTCTGTGGCCACTCAGCTCACAAGTTTTTGTACACGGATCTTTTAATACGACGATATCAAAACTGAGTAATATTTTCAGATACTAGTAAAGTATAAAAAGTGAAACTGTCCCACTATACGCCATGTAGGCGCTTGGGGGGGAGAGGAGGTATAGCTCCTACTCATTCTCAACTTCGCCACTAGATGGGGTGAGTGACCAGGACCTCGGTACCCATCGGATAGGGGACTGGGTGGGCCACAGAGCCAGTCTGGATGCAGAGGCTAGAGGAAAAATTCTCTGCCCCCATCGGGGATCGAACCCTGGTCGTCCAGTCCATAGCCAGTCACTTTACTGACTCTGCATTCAAGAAAATTACACAAGATAAATATTTGTATTATGTAATATATATTAAGTTTAAGTAATTTAAGTGAAGAGAATCATTTGACACTTTTTATTGTGTTAACAGGGGAAAATATTTGTATGAAATGTTACAGGGAACATAAACGATGCTGTGGGACATATTTTGAGTGAACTGACGAGGGAGCGTGTTGTGGGTTGAGGATTGTGGCATGGTTTTACTGTTTTATGTGTCCGTTTTCTTGGTAGTTTGTATTTGTTTTTGCATGTTCTTATGTCTGTAGAAACAAACTTACTGTAACCAGGCACAGAAAAGTTACAGGAAACAAGATAGTCCTGAACAGAAGGAACTTATAGCAACCGGCATCTCGATTAAAGAACTCGTAAGTAAACTTAAAGTCTTGATTTAGTATTAGTTTCAAAATGAATGTCTGGTGTGTCTGTTGAGTTCACATGTCAGAACGGTGGCTAAGTGAGGATATTTTAGTAACCGCTGTTCATTTCTCGTCTTATCTAAAGTCCAAGACACGGTTTCTTGGTGAATATTTTTATTACAGAGTGGAATAATGGGGTAGAAGTCACCTGACATTTGAAGGGCTAATCGTCTGTTCCCTAACGCAGCGCAATTAATTGTGGCATGATTTTAATTTTCATAGATCGGGTCCTGTAACCAAGTCACATTGCTATATAGCCATCGCACATGAATCGAGTCTGGTAAAATAATGCTTTACGTGCGACCAGCATTATATATTTCTGCTACATGTTTCAAGCTCAGATGAACCGTCATCAGGTGGGCAGTGCGTAAAGTATGATGCTAAAAACAATTATATCAATTATTTATTTTATTCCGTCTGATCACAATATAATTTTTTTATTTAAAATTTCTTATAATTAAGATAATAAAATATCATTCATGTTCCATATCGATTGATCGATTTACATTTCGGAACATTTACACAACATGTTTCGGTTTTTATAAAACCATCATCAGGTGTAAAATATATCTAAGAACTTAAAACTCTCCTACATCTTTGGTATGTTTTATTTTTATTTTTATTTTTATTTTATTGATACTTTCTAACTATAATTTATATATTTTGCATTTATTACGTGAAATTAATAGATTGTATAGTGGTGGATTTGTCACTACATTTACAAACACGAGGAAAATATTGTGTTTTTTTAAATCACTAGATGCATCTCTTAATCTTTTGCAGTAATACTCGTCACCTTTGTACTTTTATATTGACTGTCCACCTGGTGATGGTTCACTTGAACTAAAATATATACTGGAAATAAATAATATCAGTTAGGTATTAAGTATTGTTTACGAGCTTGATTTTTATATGTTAATCTGGTTGGGGTCATATTTTAGCAAGAGCTACTTTTTCTTTAGTTATGGACTGTTGGGTCTCGTATGGAGTTTGAAAGGAACGCTCGAGACAGATTTATATTTTTTAGGGTTATGTAATTCGTGCTTTATCTTCTCAAGTTCTGTTACTAAGCTGTACACGTGCCCAACATGTTGAAATAAATTTGTGGGACATGTAATAACGCAGAAACGCTCCAGGCA